CAAAATAGCATCTTATTCAGGGTATTCTATATCGATTGGGGGATTTGCATTTATCTTCATTACTTATTGCTTACTTCCCGAATTACAAATATGTCTAGGTAAATGTGTCCTAAGCTTATCGTTCTCCTTTTTCATCATGTATATCTTATTAATTACTACAGAAATAGTGAAACCATTAAATTTAAAAAGATAATGTTTTACTGACTATCTGTATCGCTGTCGCAGTAATAACTCATTGTTAAATTTGAATTGCTTTGCTTGGATGAATGTATTAACATACGATATGTATATCAGTTTTAGTAAGTTTCGTATTACATCTCAAAGTAAAGGAACAATTATAAGATACTGTATTTATGATTGGCTTCTACTAGTGACTGTAAAGGTAATATTAGTAATATTAGATAGACTTGATACTGTAAGAACTGATTATGGCCAAGCGGAATCTCGATGTTGGATTGGTAATTCTTCGATAATCCTATACGTTGCTGTTATTCAAAAACGTATTATAGCTTTGATAAATTGTTTCTTATACATTGCGGAAGTTGTTAATATTTATCGAACACGTACAAAGGTCAATAAGTTAGGTGAAAGGTATGATGGCAGTATTTCCGATTGTAAATTTTATTTATCTATGATAATAATTGTTGGAGTTACATGATCTATTGATATGGTAGCTAATATTATAGTTATGGTCTATATGTGCTATTTAACTCGATATTGAACAATTTACAGGGCATAGTTATAGCATTGGCATTTTTATGTAATTGACGAGTGAGTAATAGTCATCGCAAGTTAATACATGAAATTATAGGCATAAATTCCACCCTGAATGTCATAGAATTTGGTAGTTTAACAAAATCAACTTCTCTCGCAATAGTCCAAAAAACCTTTTCATGAATATTGAAGTATCATTGTCTTAGAAAGCTGAGAAGAATATTAAAAGGAAATCTGATATTTAATACTTTGGGGGATTGCCGTATGGAGACTTTTACGAAGTAACTAATAACAGATCACATTAATCAATAAAATGTTATAATTAAGTGAGATAGAAACTGTTGATGTTCAGATATATTTTACGCCTACCAATTTAAGCGGAAATTATATGGTGATTCGCTTTTAGGAATTGCAATCACTAAGATAAGTTAAATTTAGTTATAATATTTACAATAAAATTACTATAAGCACCGTTCATTTACGTAGTCATAATATCAATACTCTGTCTATTTTAAAATTAGTACTATGGTAAAATATGAAAATATACGGTACGTTATGTTACATTATCGCATTCGAAACTGATTTTAATAAA